AGGCCGGTGGCGCGGAGGCGACCGAGCTGGGGCCGCCACGCGGGGTGCAGGCGCGCGGGAGCCACTGGAGGCCTGACGCGCGTGAGCAGGCAGACGGGTCGGCGCGGGGCGAGGCAGCCGGCCGCAGCCCGTGGGGCAGGAGCCAGACAGGCGCGGAGACGGCGCGGCGGGAGACGGCGACGGCCAGCGGACACGCCGACGCGCAACAGCCGGGGTGCACGGGCGCTGCGACGTGGAGCACGGGTAGCGGCTTGTTGACAGTAAGAAGCTAGGGCAGCACCGCAAGGCGCAGACTCGGGCGAGGGGGCGCGCGGTGCGCCGGGCCGGAGCTGGGCACGGCGGCAGGGTGAGGCGCTCGAGGAAGGAGAAGCGAAGCGATGCGTGCAGCCGAGCCAGCCGCTCGAGTGAGCCGCGGGCGCGCGCAAGAAGAAGCAAGGCGGCAGCGCGGTGGATGACGCACGGGAGAGGAGCTGGAGACGCTTCGAGGAGCTCGCAGAGGTCCGCCCAGGCACGAGCGGTGCGGCCGTGCGTACGGGCGCCTCCCCTGACGACGCACAGAGCAGAGGCCTGTGTATACCCGTTGTCTGGGAAGTGTATGGGAAATGGTTTAGCTATGGTGTGGCTAATGGTTTGACCATTGACTTGCATCTAGCTAGCTTGCAGATGATATTTGGAGGAGCCAGCGCGTGTGTCGGCCGGAGCAAGGCGCAACGCGGAGGGAAGCAAACGCAAGCGGTGCATGGATGGCCACGGTCGATCGAAACGAGGCCCCGCGCGCGGCGCGCGCGCGGACGGATAGCCGGCGTCGCAACGGTGGTGATGACGAAGGCGGCAAGGCCGACGATGAGGACGCGCCGTCCCGCGCGGCCGCTCTGGGGACGGGTCGAAGTCGAGCCCCCGAGCGCTACCGGAGAGACGGCGCGACGCCGCGGCGGTGAAGACGAAGATGGTCCCGCCCGGACAGCGAAACCAGCAGCAGCGCGGTAGTATAGTACCGTCCTACGGTGGGCGCCAAATGTCGTGGTATTCTCACGGAGGGGTGCAAGACGACATATGCCACAAGGTGGCTTCGTGTGAGGGCAAGACTGCTGCCGGAATATCCAGGGACGGGTATGCGAGTAGCACGCGCTAGTTTACCCAGGTTCGGGGCTCTCCGGAGAGATAACACCCCTACTCCTGCATGTCTGAGTATATCTGGTATATCTGGTACAGAGTGCTCCTGGAGCTGTATCTGAGGTCAGTGCCATAGGCATCTGACATCTGGCCTCGTATATGCATATGAGCATAGATGTGTGTGTGGCCGCATGTGCCTGAGCATGCATGCGTGAGTGTGGGAGAGTGAGTCCATCCTGGATGGATAGATGAGTGCCCATATATATAGGCATAGCTAGCTTAGGAAGTAAGCTAAGTGGTGGCATGGGCAAGGCATGGTGGGGTGTCATTCTTGTCCCCTGGGTCACTTCATAAATAGTGCCAGGGGACAAGTGACACTGTACATGATGGCTGGGGTGTCACGTGAACAGTGTCGGGTACGGTCGTCGCGTCGGGGTCGCGTCGGGCTGCAGTCGGCAGTCGGCTGGTTGGCGTAGTCGGCAGCCCGCAGTCGGCCTGGGCGGCCGGGGAGTCGGCAGCCAACAGTCGACCTGGTGGTGCAGTCGGCAGCCCGCAGTCAGCCTGGGCGGCCGGGGAGTCGGCAGCCAGCAGTCGGCCTGGTGGTGCAGTCGGCAGCCCGCAGTCGGCCTGGTGGTGCAGTCGGCAGCTCGCAGTCGGCCTGGGTCGCCGGGG